CTCTGCATTCGTGGAATTGAGAAACAGCCATTATGTACTGTCATCATGGCAAATTTAAAAGAAATTAATAATTAGAAATGAGTTAATAAAACTATTATGTTTAGACATATGTTGAAACAAATCTCTCCACTAAACAGAAATTTGGGAAAAAATATAAAAGGATTAAAATTTAACAAGAGGGCTAATAATTTTGACTTCAACTCAATTTAAGCCGGAAAAGCAGTGGAAGAAAAAAAAAGATTTTTAGGTCTGTTGTTTTGAATGATTTTTAAAGCAAGAGTGTTGATTGATTTTGCACTTTAGCCAATGAGTTAACCTTTGAAATATGTGACGTTAACTAGAAAGTGATATGTTTTGCTTTTTAAGGAGAACAATTTTTTTATTTATTTTTTTAAACAAGGACTTGATTTATATGATTGTACTTTAATGTGTCTGGAAATAGTTTTATTGTCATTACTTGATGGGAAATAAGCTGCTGTTTTTGTATTTTCTTTATTTTGTTCTGCAAAATTTTGATCACTTGCAATTATTGTTATTTTTTTAAATTTCTGCGGCTCTTGGTATGCCAGTTTTCTGAATTTTCATTGCCAATCTTAGCCAATTGTAATGCTTTGTTTTGGGTCAATTTTGAATGGATTGACCTTCCCCCAGATCCGGTCACTTATATTTTAAGTGGAAAAAAATATTTGATCAAATGTTTTTGTGGGCAGCACGGTGGCTCAGTGTTTAGCACTGTCGCCTCACAGCAAGAAGGTCGCTGGTTCGAGTCCCGGCTGGACCAGTTGGCATTTCTGTGTGGAGTTTGCATGTTCTCCCCGTGCTGGCGTAGGTTACCTCAGGGTGCTCCAGTTTCCCCCAAAGACATGCGCTATGGGTGACTTAAATATAATATTAATTGGCCTGGGTTGCAGCTGGAAGGGCATTCGCTGTTTAAAACATTTGCTGGATAAGTTGGCAGTTCATTCCACTGTGGCGACCACTGATGAATGAAGGGACTCATCCAAAGGAAAGTTAATGAATGAAAATGTTTTTGTGAAATCTAATTTGGTCTTTTCATTCTCTCTCTCTCTCTCTCTCTCTCTCTCTCTCTCTCTCTCTTTCTCTCTCTCTCTCTCTCTCTCTCTCTCTCTCTCACACACACACACACACACACTTTTTATAAATTGACGAATAACTTGGTTTTTAATGTTTCAGACCCTGAGAACATTTTGTATGCTGTTGATGAAGTTTTAATTAATAATTTAAAGTAATAATTTAATAATTTAAAGTAATAATTTAAATAAAGGGATGTAAACATAGAAAAATAAAATAAAGTCTGTTAAATTGATGTTTTTATAAAATTTGATAAAATTTAGGGTAATCGCAGATGCGGTCTGTGTGGTTCCTAACACCCTAGTATATTGATGGGGATTTTATACTGCTCAGGGAGGTCCTGACTCTCTGTGGTCATTAAAAATCCCAGGATGTCCTTCGGAAAGTGTCAGGGTTTAACCCTGGTTTAACCCAAATTTGCCCACTCGTCTCTGGCCATCATGGCCTCCGAACCATCCCCACATCAGAATTGGCTTCATCACTCTCCTCTCCACCAATCAGCTGTTTTGCAGTCTGGCGCAATATGGTGGTTGTGGATGGGGAGATTCCCTCAATGTGTAAAGCGCTTTGAGTGTCCTGAAAAGCTCTATATAAATGTAGGGAATTATTATTATTATTATTATTATTATTATTATCATATTTCCCAAATTATGTTTAACAGAGCAAGGAATTTTTCATAGTATTTCCTTTAATATTTTTTCTTCTGGAGGAAGTCTTATTTTATTTCGGCTAGAATAAAAGCAGTTTTTATTTTTTTAAAACCATTTTAAGGTCAATATTATTAGCCAATATTTAGCAATATTTCTTTTTCTTTTTTTGATACCTAGTTAAGCCTTTTAATATCACTTTAAACTGAATACTAGTATCTTGAAAAATATCTAGGAAAGTATTATGTACTGTCATCACGGCAGACATAAAAGAAATCAGTTATTAGAAATGGGTTATTAAAACTATTATGTTCAGAAAAAGAAAATATATATTTTTTCCATTTAACAGAAACTGAGGGAAAATATAATTATATAATTATATTATTATATAAATAATAATTTAGGAGAGCTAATAGTTCTGACTTTTACTGTATATATTTATGTATAAGAACATACTGAGTTTTTTTGTTTGTTTAAGAATTGTAATAGTTTAAAATGTTGATTGTAATAAAATGTATTTTTAAAATTCTTTCCCTCTCTCTCAGCATTTCCTCCCTTTGCGTGATGATGACGCTTTCCCCCCTCCTGTTCTCCAGCATGGCTTTGCCTCCTGCCTCCCTCTCAATCGCCCCAGACAGCAAACCCCACACGTCTTTGATTCTGCGCTTGAAAAATGAAGATGGTGAACTTCAAAGAGAATGTTCTTCTGCTGATGCGAACCAGCCCACTCAACCTCTCTGCCGTCATTTTATCTGCCCCATCTTTCTCCCTCGCTCACTCTTTCCATCTGTCTTTGTGTCTGTTTCTCTCTTTTCTGCGTGTGAAACTTGTTCTACCTTCCTCTGTCTTTCATACATATACATGCACACAATGATGCTTAGAGATAATATTGTGGTGGTACAGTGGGTATGGATACCATGGTATTGTTATTCAGAACATGTTGTGTGGCATAAAGTTTCATTTAGTTTTTTACTGAGAATATGCCCAGGTAGTATTGTTTTACTATACTTTTTACTATACTTGTTTTTACTATGTGGGGATATTTTTAACATTATGTATATATATATATATATATATACATTTTTTTTAAATTAACCAGATTATTGTAGACATATTTTATAAATATTAAGCAGCTGTTTTCATCAAGCATAATAGTAGCATATTAGAATAATGCATGCATTCTATAAAAAATGTAACACTAAAGTCTGATGTAACGATGCTTAAAATTCACAGTATTAAATGAGATTTTAAAATATATATATATATATATATATATATATATATATATATATATATATATATATATATATATATATATATATATATATATATATATATATATATAAATAATAATTGCAAAAATTACTGTTTAATTTTGGACAATTATATAGCAAGCATAACATTAAACATTACTAGTATTATTATTATTATTATTTATTAAAGGGACTATGTATCTCGACTGGCCTGGGAACGCCTCCGGATTCCCCCGGAAGAGGGAAGTCTGGGGTTCTCTTCTAAGATTGCTGCCACCGCGACGCGGTCGGAAAAGCGGATGCAAATGAATGAGTGAGTGAACGATTTATTATTATTATCACTATTAATATACAACGGTTCTGTCTGGTTATCGAATCTGATTGGCTGATAGCCGTGCGAAATTCTGCACTCCTCAGCTTCCTACAAAACAGCTCTCCAACAGCTTCTTCACTCTTGTGTATTACTCCGCCCACATGACAATAAACTCACTAGTTTGACAAATATTGTAACTGTTGGACAACGTAATGTACTTTTAATGCCTTTTTTAGGCGGAAATGTAGTTAATTCGATTGAAACTGCAGTTAATTATAAGTATGGTGCCTATTTTAAAATATTTATAATTTTGGAGAGCATGTTGAGCAAAGAAATGGACGGTTGACCGCCGCAAGATGGCGACAGAGACTGCATAAGTGCTTAGGGGAGAAAAACTCGGCGTTTTGTTTTCGTATTTTAAACAGCCGACCAAATCATTATAGAAATGGTAAATGGCATTCTGAGTCGATCTCTTTTGTAGTGCTGTATTATACCACAGTAATCTGGTAGTTTGGCTTTTTCGGGGTTAATTAATGTGATCTCCCGATTGCAACAGAGAAATACTGGGCAGCCTAACCTAATCTCTAGAGTCTAGACTGATCATGCCGTTCAGCTGTATAATCTTAAATGTGAGCAAAGTCACCTGTTTTTTAGACATTATGATAGAAAAATCATTCAAATACTAGCTCTAAAGTGATGTTTGTGTACTGGCAACGGTTTCTACTGTTCTGACCGTCAGCTGCAGATGTGAATAAGAGGTGGAAGAAAGTAGTTCCTCTTACAAAAAAGGTTTTTGAGACTCTCTGTGTTTGATTTTCATTTGTATATACATTATCATGCCCTTAAACTGTTGTATAAATGCAGTATTACTCTCGTAGCAGTGGGGTATTTTTGTATATGCAGCCATATCACACTGCTTCTCGTGTGATATTGCTAATATATTCTATCACCACCTGATACTAACTTAGTAGCCTAGAACTAGTAGGTTCATAAATGTCCTTTACTATGCATCATGACATTTACTTGCATAATTCTGGAGCCTCTTCTCACATTATAAAATTTCAACTCAAATCAATATTTAATGTGCATTTTTTATTTATTTTATGAGTACTCGTGTAATCAACTAAATTATGCACAGTCTGTTGGTCATTATTGCAAAATAAGCCCCTCCAGTATCAAATAAGACCTCTCTGTTTCAAGTGAGGGTTTTGATTACCCTTACGAGGTTTATTTTGCATCTCCACATTATTCTTAAAGCATTAGTTATAATTATGCTGCCTTTTCTATCATCCCCGTTTGGAGTTTTCTGCATCGTTTCCTCTCTCAAAACTTCTAGCTATCATTTGCTCTCTCCCTCTGTGAGTTTGCCTTTGAATGTGTTTGTGCAGAGTCACAGATAAGTGTGGCATAATCCCATCTACTTGCCGCGGCAAACCTGAGCATGCTGAGCACTTTAACATAGTTTATTTTTACCTGGCTTTCTCTCCTTCAGCTGTCAGTCAATGCCGAGTTCTCAGCGGCGCTGACAGAAGATGCCTCATTCTCCCAGTCGCAATCAAGACACACAGAGTCTCTAATTACAGAGCCTGTAAACCCATCGCTTCACAACCACAGACTGACACAGATATGCCGTAAACTCATACAGTACTAGTCTAAGAGGAACCACGAGGAGAAAGACAAAACAGAGCAGGTTACCTCTAAAGTTGACGTGCAGCAGAAAGTCCCGGTAGAGTTTCCTGCCATCAAGACTGCGCATGGCATCACACAAACGTGTAGTGTTGGCACACAAAGTCCGTTGCATGCGATGCAAAGCATGCGCCATGGCATACACTGCATTTACCACAAACATAATCTTTGATTCTGGCTCAAAATTGGACTTGTCGATAACCAGTTCCTGGTCACAAGGTGGCTTTGGGGTTCCTGCCCCTGTTGCTGACGTCCCACCCAATGAACACTGAAACTTTTGCTCCCAGAAGTCTTTGAACCAGGGGTTGCGATGGTTAATTTGGGGCGTGAGGGTCTGGAAGTAACGGTTGAAATCTGGTATGGGATGAGCCGCTAGCTCCAGCGTGATTGCACCATCTGCTGTGAATTCGTTCCCTTTGACGATGCTCTCTTGCGCCCCCCATCCGTCGCTGGCCACCCAGAGGAAAGATGCGTTGAGGCGGGCGGCAGCGGCGATTAGTTCTCTTGCGTCGTCGCTACGTAGAAAAAGAACAGCGACGCGAGCTGTGGGCTTCTGGAGGAGCTGGCGGACCACGGCCTCATATGAAGAACGCTTTGCGCTAGATCGTCCTACTTTTTCCGAAGTAGCGATGCAGATGTTTCTCAAACGCGCTTGTTGCTCGAAGGCTTCGATTCCTGTTTCTCCATAGTCTCCCTCTGAGGCCACGGTGGAAACGTAGGTCCAGTTGAAGGCCCGTAAGATCTCCGCCATGGCCTTGGCCTGGTAGAAATCTGGAGGGACGGTTCGTGCAAAGTAGTCATAGCGGGATTTGTCGCTGAGTTTGGCACTGGTACTAGCATAGCTGATCTGAGGGATCTGAAACAACCGCAGCAGGTTTGCAACCTGAGAGAAAAACACAAACATATAGAGCGATGCATTACAAACTCTGTTTTAATCAATAAGTCAGCACCCTATTAAATAATCATCCAGAGTCTATGATACATAAAATATTCTTTTTTTAGTCATTTGATTGGATCAAGCCACATTAGCCCAATTAAGAGGACGCATGCAGTCTCAGCAGGGCTGAGCAGCGTGAAAACGTTTCTCTTTGGTGAGATGCAGCTTGGCTCCTCCATATCACACATCCCACGCTAAGTGCGCAGGAATGCACAGGAAAATATCTCCATTCCTGCATAACACTGACACTGGTGCGTACAATGATTCAAGTATTTACGTCAAAGCTAAGACAGCTTGCAGCTTCTTTATTGTGCAATCATTATTTTGTGTAATGAATTCTCAATAGTGCTTATTGTCCTGCTGCTATATTGATGTTCAGGTGTAAGAAGAGCTTAAAGTCAACATGACATCTAAATTGATGATCTAACTTTTTCTTGCATGCTTCTTTTTATTGATTCAACAAAATGTGTAGTTGGAAAAAGCCTATTAGGAACGTCCTGTGTTTTTAGACTTCTACACTAAATTAAATCAGGTCATTGTAAATCACAGGTAAACCGAATACTGGATAACCCGGAATGCTGCTTCATGTTACACACAATTTAGCCAAATTTAACAATTGATACAGGGTAATCATTTTGTTTATGTTTCACATGGTAAAATCCTAAACCCTGGGTAAACATCCACATTTGTGTATTTGTGGGGTCAGTGTAAATGTCACACAACTCATTTACATTAAAGGGATGGTTCACCCAAAAATTTTAATTCTGTACTCAGCCTTGCTCAAGACCTATTTTGATTTTCTTCTCTTTTATTGAACACAAACAAAGATAATTTGAATACTGCTGGTTGTTGGCACACATTAACACTCATAGTTATTTAATTTCTAATATGGAAGTTGATGTGTGCCAGCAACCAGCATTCTACAATATATATTCTTTTGTGTTTACCAGAAGAAAGAAGCACCATAAGGGTTTAAAACCACATGAGGGAGAGTAAATTATGAGGTTACTTTTGGGTGAACTATTCCTTCAAGGCTTACATGTTGTCTGTATTATATAACATACTATTGTAAAGTTTGACTCTGGTTCATCAGTGTGCTATTCATGAATAAATTGCTTTAATAATGTAAAATAAAAAAATGTCACTGAGGACATTGTGCTCAGCAGACGTTCGACATCATAAGATGCTAATATTAGGTTAGATTTAGGTCACCAGCATCTAAGGACAATGTTATTTTGCCGTCAAATGAATTTGATTTGAATGATTTTAGGTTGTGTTGAAAAGTGATCAAAATTCAACGTCCTACCAACGTCTTAAACCAACATATCATATCACATATTGATGTCAAATACTGACATTTATTTGTCAGGTATGGCAACCAAAATCCAATGTCTGATCAATGTTATAGTGGTAACGTCTGCAGTCTGCACAATGTGAAGCTGTAACATCATTCATTCATTCATTTTCTTTTTGGTTAAATCCCTCATCAGGGGTCACCACAGCGGAATGAACTGCCAACTGCAATCCCATCTCTGGAAAACATCCGTACACACTCAATCACACTTATACATTACGGACAATTTAGTCTACTCAATTGACCTATACCACATGTCTTTGTACTGTGGGTGAAACCGGAGCACCCGGAGGAAACCCTCGCGAACACAGGGAGAACATGCAAACTCCACACAGAAATGCCAACTGACTCAGCCGAGGCTCGAACCAGCAACCTTCTTGCTGTGAGGTGACAACACTACGTACTGTGCCACTGCATCGCCCAGCTGTAACATCATTAGACGTTGATTTGGGTGATTTTAGGTTGTGTTGATTTATTTGTCAGGTATGGCAACCAAAATTCAACGTCTGATAAACATCATATTGTTAACATCCATACATGGCCAAGCCGTAACATCATTAGACGTTGATATTTGGTTGATTTTCGGTTGTGTTACAAAGTGACCAAAATCCAACGCCGAGCCAACATCTTAAACCAACATCTTGACATCAGATACTGACATTTATTTGTCAGGTATACGACGACCAAAATTCAACGTCTGATAAACGTCATATTGGTAACGTCTGCACTATGTCAAGCTGTAACATCATATGTTGATATTTGGTTGATTTTAGGTTGCTTTGGAAAGTGACCAAAAACCAACGTCGAGCTAACATCTTAAAACAACATTATATTAATGTCAAATACTGACATTTATTTATCAGGTATGACAACCAAAATCCAAAGTCTGATAGACATCATATTGGTAACGTCCACACAACGTCAAGCTGTAACATCATTCGGCGTTGATATTTTTAGTTTTACTTTAGTTTTGGTGACTGCTGATTAATATAGGGAAGAAGCTGAAAAGAAAATGAATGAATAAATTTTGTTGTTTTTAGGTTGCGTTGGAAAGTAACTAAAATACAACATCTGTCTGACACTGTACATTGATGTCGGCCTGACATTGGGTTCTGACGTCAACCCGATTTTCATTTTCAAACAAAATGCAATGATGTCATGTTGACGTCCTGTGCCTGCTGGGTGCTATTGGCTAATGTTAACAAATACAGAACTAACTATTTAGGTAGTGTTTTGCCAAGTTTGCATTATGTCTGTCTTCATTATGATTTTTAATTTTCATTTGTAACTTGATAGATAGAACAAGTGATAATGTTAAAATGTTTATCAGACCTTTGTACACTGTAAAAAAATATAACTTAATTAACAGTATCCATATTTTAGGATTTTAAAGTTATGAATTGCATTATGGGACTTTTTCTCTACCCTGTTGACACTTCATGTGGAAAATTCAACAAATTTTAAAAGTAAAATGAGTCAGGAAATGGGTTGAAGTGTATCTAAATATCTCAGAGTGCAACAAAAAATACCTGAACTTTTTGTTTCTTTAGAAAAAAAAATATTTATACAGTTTTCCCCCCATTCAATGGAGAGTAAACCTGCATCCCTGTGAACGCAGAGATATGATGCAACTTAAAAGAATCTGCAGGAATGAGGGACAAAAGTGTACACTGGCTCTCAGGAGAGACTCTGCCAGAGGGAGAGAGGCGGGATTGTCAAACAACAGCCGGTGTCGTGACAGAAAAACAATGGCCAGTCGCTGGCGATGAAAGCAGAGCGATGGATAACAATGGTTATCTAACGAGAGACCACAGCGAGGTCACAATTCTCCAAGCTCTTTGGCAGAAACAGGCAATATCACTAAATAAAACTGCAGGGAGACCACAGGGGGAAAAGACTGATGGGGAACAAGAAAAAGATGGAGAGGGAAGGAGGGTTAGACAGATTACGGACTTTGGAACTGATAGAGGAAGTCAGCTTTAACTGAGCCACAAATGGATAGAGGGTTATGCAAAATTATGCAAATTTCCATGGCTCTGTCACCAGTGCTACTAGAAAGCAACAACGCGCAACACACAATAGCATAGCCGCAGTGCTAATCCTTGCACGTACAAGAGGAATGCAAAAAGAAAACTGGATTTACAGGGGCGAAGAATGGAAATGGGGGTGGCGCAGTTTTATATGTAGGCAGGTGTTTAGGACGAGACAATGCAGGCAACGCCATTTTTTCATGCATCTGCCATTTTTTAAGATTTTTGGCTTTTCATAAACAATTCTAGTTCAGTCTGATGCAAAGGAAACCTCTGAAATACACTTTTAAAGTCAGTGTAAATAAAAAATTTGCAATGTTTATTTGGTTTTCTAGATCAGAGATGCACAAAGTAGGGGTCAATTGACAAAGTTGGCAAATGGTAACCTTTAATTTGGCCCACCATCCCATCCGGAAAGATGGGGAGGTGGTTGGGGCAAAAGCCTTTAAAAGTGATCGCCATTTTGAATTTAACGTATAACCCCTGGTTTTATTTCTGAGCTACAAAAACAGTCACTGAAATTCAATTAAATAGTGTAAATCAGACTTTAAATATAAATACTGTCAGCAAACTGCACAAGACCTCTGCAAGCAAATCGAAGCAAGCTCGATTAGTGTATTCAGCATCGAACTTGTGTTATAAATGGGACTGTTTATGTTTTACTTTAATCAGTTCATTCATTCATTTTCTTTTCGGCTTAGTCCCTTTATTGATCTGGGGTCGCCACAGCGGAATAAACTGCCAACTTATCCAACATATATTTTAAGCAGCGGATACCCTTTCAGGCGTACCCGATCACTGGGAAACACCCATAAACTCCCATTCACACACATACACTTTGGACAATTTAGCCTACCCAATTCACCTGTGACACATCTCTTTGGACTTGTAGTGGAAACTGGAGTAACAACGTGGGGAGAACATGCAAACTCCACACTGAAATGCCAACTGACTCAGCCGAGGCTCGAACCAGCCACCGTGACGGAATAAGATCACTATAAAATGTTAAAAATGGTATTGGTTCATTCCGTTGTGGAGACCCCAGATAAATAAAGGGACTAAGCCGAAAAGAAAATGTATAAATGAATAAAAATGATACTGCATTAGTCAATATGATTAAAGCAATGTTTTCTAATTATTTTGAAATATTACCAAATAAATTATAAAATTACCCATGGCAAATGTAATATATACGGTTTGGTATTTATTTGGCCAACAGTCCTCAATCAAGTTTGCTTTAGATAAAAGTTTGGGCACCCCTGCTTTAGATGAACAATTAATCCTTCAAAGTTAATTCACTGGAAAAAAATGTTTATTTGGTACTATTCAAAGTCGGATATTTTGCTTCCGCATGTTTTCACACAATATTTTTAACTAAGCCTGTCATATTGTTCATTTGCAACGAGGGAAAGGCTTGCAAAAAAACTCATATTTCATTTCAGTTAGAAGGGCATCAACATACTGGAATAAAAGACTCAGCAACTTCCAGTTCACACAGACATTAAATGTTTAATTTGTCACACTTAATACATTCATTCATTTTCTTTTTCAGCTTAGTCCCTTTATTAATCTAGGGTCGCCACAGCGGAATGAACCGCCAACTTATCCAGCATATGTTTTACGCAGCAAATACCCTTCCAGCTGCAACCTATCACTGGGAAACACCCATACACTGTTATTCATACGCATACACTACGGAAAATTTAGCCTACCCAATTCACCTTTATCGCATGTCTTTGGACTTGTCAGGGAAACCAGAGCACCCAGAGGGAACCCATGCGAATACAGGAAGAACATGCAAACTCCACTGAGAAATGCCAACTAACCCAGCCGAGGCTCGAACCTGCGACCTTCTTGCTTTGAGGCGAGAGCGCTACCCACTGCACCACCATGCTGCTTTGATCAATACACTTTTTGTAAAATTATTTTTTTCTTAAAATATTCACTTCAGCAACACTTGCACCACACAAAGTTTTTGATTATATCTTCTGAAGGTTTTTAAAGAGGGATATGTATACATAATTTTCCTGAATATATAGGGGTTAGGCAATGCTGCAAAACTGAAACAACCAATTTAGTGTTGGAGGTTTCATGGCTAAATTTGACAAGCCTGGTAGCCAATCTTCACTAATTGCAAACTCCACAACTAAAGCAGCTTCCACACTGCACTTTTCGCTCTATAGACTTCCATTCATATAGATGCAGCAGACTAGAAATGCAAGATTATGTGACAATTTTGTCACTGCATTTTAACTTTGTTGAACTCTGACCTGCGAAATCACATCACAAACGTGATGAAGGTTGAAGGTTTAATTAGCAGAGTTCCACAGTGTCAATATACATGGCCAGGCTGCTATAGCCAAACCTTTGGTTACTTGTGCCAGTGCCAAACATCGGTTTCAATAGTGCCAGCAATGAAAATCTTGGGCTATGGACAATGTGAAACGTATTGTTTTCTGATGAGTCCATCTACACTGTCTTCCCCACATTCAGGAGAGTTATGGTGTGGAGAAGCCCCAAAGAAGTGTACCACCCATACTGTTGCATGCTCAGAGTGAAGCATGGAGGTGGATCAGTGATGGTTTGGTCTGCAATATATTGGTATTCCCTAAGTCTAATACTTGTGCTAGATGAGCACGTCACTGCAAAAGACTAGCAAACCATTCTGGAGGACAATGTGCACAGTGGTTCAAACATTGTGCGAGAATTTACAGAGTGATAAAAAGAGATACAGGTGGCATGGTGGCTCAGTAGTTAGCACTGTCGCCTTACAGAACGAAGGTTGCTGGTTCAAATCCCGGCTGGGCCAGTTGTCATTTCAGTGTGGAGTTTGCATGTTCTCTAGCAGGTCGTGTGGGTTTACTCCAGGTGCTCCGGTTTTCCCCACAGTCCAAAGACATGTTATAGGTGAGTGGAATAAACTAAATTTGCCATAGTGTATGAGTGTGTTTGTGAATGAGTGTGTATGGATGTTTCCCTGTACTGGGTTGCTGCTGGAAGGCATTCGCTACATAAAACATATGTCGGAATAGTTGGCAGTTCATTCTGCTGTGGCGACCTCTGAAAGGAAAACGAATGAATGAATAAAAATAAATACTCAAAATCCCTTTAGGAAAAACCTTTGACTCTTAATATTTCTGAAAAAAAGGAAGCTGACTTCTTCCAATGTTCAGATTGTTGTGCTAGAAATAGATGCAAATTAGCACATATTTAATTAAATAAAGGCTCATTTTCATATTAAAGCATAACATTTTAGAACACTTGTATTGTTTCTTAATGTAATGTATCAGCTGGGGAAGTATGGTGATATATATTGGTTCATATTCACCTGCAGTGTCTTGCCTTAAATAATGGATTGGGCTTTTCATAGTTTGTTAGGGAAAAAAGAGCTGTGTTGTTGTTTTGCCAAGTAGATTTCTGGAGGGTGAAGAACAAATTTGTGATTCACAAAGACGAACCGGCAAATAATTCAGTGAGAAATAATGAATTCATCCAAACTGTACACTAATAAAAGAGGTTTATTTAGGTGACTGTGCTGAAAATGTGTACTCGAGGATCTCAAGGGAGGTTACACTACAAAGAGGGGGTTTTCTGCTTCGTTCATGTGTAGTTCATTAAATAGGGCTAATTAAACTCGGCTCTTGAATGTCTGATTTCGACTGTATTGCATGCAATCATTTGAAATATGTAAAATCTAAATTTGTTTAAACCAATTGAGTTGTTTTGTTTTCTATTTGTTTGTTTATTTATCTATATTTACATTACATTCTTGTATTGGTCCATAACTTATTTCATGAACTATTTATTTTAAGGTTTATAATCTGTATAAATGTTCAAATAGCAGTATAGTTTTGTAGGCGACCCCAAAGATAGTTATTTACTATATATTTTTAAAAATATTTTTTAATGCTTGTTTCTATTTAGATAGATAGATAGATAGATAGATAGATAGATAGATAGATAGATAGATAGATAGATAGATAGACAGATCATAATACATTAAATAATATTTTAACTGTGAATTTTAAGTTGCAAAAACTTTATTTTTCCAAAATTAATTATAATTGATTAGTAACTATTACTAAAATTATTATAGTAACTGGTTAATTTTCTGCACAACAACAAAAATTGACTAATAATTTCTGTGTTAAATTACTTTACCATGTTTACTTTGTTTACTTATGCATGTATGTATGTATGTATTATGTATGTATTAATTTATTTAGATATTTGGAAAATTGGATTTATTACATAAATTACACAACTATATACCTGACATCAGTGGTCTCAAACTCAATTCCTGGAGTGCCACGCCTCTTCATAATTTAGCTCCAACCACCTCCTACTCACCTGCTTAATAGTCTCCAGTAGTTTTGAGTTTGAGACCCAAATTCAAATGTTGAGACTTTATAAAATAAATGGCCAACTAGCCCAACATTGGCTGCCTCCACATAATTTGGACATGTACAAGTGGTTGGTACAACTTCAAGACATTATAATGTTGGAGTTATCCACGGCGTGAGTGAACTTGGTACAAATGAGTACATTACAGATCTGGACTTTAGCTGCTGACAAAATCTCCTTGTTTATTGCACAAAGAAATGATGAAGATCCAGAATGATTGCCTTGGTTTGTATAATTGATATTTGATACTGTATTCTGTTTTTGTTTTTATCTTAACTTCTATTCATTGTAAAGCCCAGTTTCAAGAGACCGCAGGGGAGGAGCATGTTTTTTTTTTTTTTTTTTTTAATTGATATGTTTCATTATATAGTTTTTTCAGTCTGTATGTTTTGTTAACAATTAATAAAAAAATAAATAAATAAATAAAATAAACATCAAACAGAAAAAATAAATAAATGGCTAAAAATTAATAACTAATTTCTTTCCTTTGTTTGTTTGTTCAGTCGGTTGGTCATTTATTCATATACTTAACATTTCAGATGTTTTAAAATTAGATTAAATTCGGGGTGACGCTGTGGCTAAGTGGTTAGCTCTGTCGCCCCACAGCAAGAAGGTTGCTGGTTCGAGTCCCTGCTGGACCAGTTGCCATTTCTGTGTGGAGTTTGCATGTTCTTCACGTGTTGGCGTAGGTTTTCTTTGGGTGCTCCAGTTTTCTCCCACAGTCTAAACACATGTGATATAGAATTGAATAAACTTAATTGGCTGTAGTGTATTAGTGTGAATGAGTGTGTATGGATGTTTCCCAGTACTGGGTTGCAGCTGGAAGGTCAATCTGCTGTGTAAAACCTATGCTGGATAAGTTTGCGGTTCATTCCAGTGTGGCGACCCCTGATGAATAAAGGGACTAAGCCGAAGGAAAATAAATGAATGAATATTGCTAAATTGTGTAAGCTTTATCTAGAAATATACTAAAATGACATGTGAGTATATGCAAATAGAAACCAAGCAATCATTTTGTGCGTTTGCTCACATGAAACCAAATCCAAGATCAAACCGACAGTTTCTAACCTGTATAGAGACACTGCTAAAAGATCCACCAATGACTCCTGCTATAGCCAGTGGACTGTCCTCCTGAAGAGCGTAAGACCCGTCGGGACAGATGAACTCCGTATCATCCACTTTCGTAAGGGACGCCCTGACGAACTCCAATGCCTGTTCGAGAGCATAGGTGTCCCTCGAGCACGTGTCCAAAATATGGACTCCCAAAACCACACCCGGCAGCAGCGCCACGTCCTGATTGATCTGATCGATAGCGAAGAGCATTGCCTCAAGCCTCTGGATGCCTCGGTCTTCATTGATCCGGCCGCACTCGTCCATGCCCATGCCCTTCTCGTGAATGGGGAACAGGCCTCCCAGAACCAGGTCTCCGTCGATCTTGATTTCCTTGCGGGGAGAGTCTCCTCTGGACTGCAGGAGTCCGGCAGACAGCAGGAGCAGAGCACGGACAGCTGACCACATCGTTTAAGGACAGAAGACTGAGGACGTGTTACGGTTGGGCGGGGAGAACGAGGGTGAAAGAGGGTAGGTGTCAAGGAACAGAGAGAGGCATGAAGGGGCAGCAGGGAGCTCTGTCGGGTTACTCATGGAGATCCACAGCAGTGGGTTCAGCTGTTCAACTGCAGACAAACAGAAGGAGAGAAAGAGGCAACGTAAGATGCTGATTTAATTCAATTCAATTCATCTTTATTTCTATAGCGCTTTTACAATGCAGATTGTGTAAGGCAGCTTAACACAGAAGTTCTAGTACATTGAAGCTGTGTCAGTACAGTTTTCAGGGTTGAAGTATGAATTGGTACTTATATGACAACTAAACATTACTTCATTAAGACTTTATAATGAGTTAAGGCAGGAAATCTCAATCGGTCGGCCACAGCCCACTAGCTGGCCTCAGCAATCCTGCAGGTGGGCCGTGAGATTAAAATTAGCTCTCAATATTATACTATAATTTTTGGATTGCGACATAATATTTGATATATTGAAATTATCGAAGTAATTCACTTTTTTCCTGTTCTCTGATTGATTACTTCAAACTCAGTGCAAAAACAGCCTTATGAAGGTATCTGTCTGCATGTCTGTTTATTCACAAACTATGTGTATATTTAAAAAATAAATAAAATTATATATATTATAGTTTTAGTTTTATATATAATTACATTTAAATAAATTATATTTTTTATAAAATGCTGATAATAGAAAATAATTGAAGGCACAACAAATGTTTAATATTTTTGTTGTAATAATATAATAGAATGTATAATTTGTTAATAAATAAAGGTTTAAATGAGCAATTTTTACACATTTTATGTTAGAGAATTTTATTTTAGACATATTGGAGAAAGTGGGCCCCGCAGTGAAAAGGGTTGCGAGCCCCTGAGTTAAGGCATGTACTAATCAAAGACTAACTTTCACTACAATATGAGTCACATTAATTCATGTGTGAATAATGGCTACCTTAATTGTCAGTTCATGTTTGTCAATTAATGTATTAATTAACTCTTTCATTTAAGCTAAATGTAACTAACATGAACTCATGAGCTGTTAATGTACCCTTATGTCATGACTTGAAGGAACACATTATTATTAACTCATTCTTAACTACTGATGAAATCCTTTATTTAAACAGTTTATTTTGATGTAGACAGAACACTTCTATTGGTTTTTAATGTACTTGATGACCATTACGTTTAAACACAGAAGTTCATGAGTGTTAATAACGAGTTAATGATAATGATATTCACATTAAGATATAAAGACAGTTAGCCATTTTTAATGTCTAAAAGTCAATCGATGTGAATAAGACCGGAAGTCTCGAGCCAAAAAGATTCCAATGCATGCACCTGCTTGTATGTGAAGAATAAGGTCAATACTCTACTCTTATATTACAGTATAATTGGTATTGAAGTACTTCTAGTCAGTTGTATGTAATAAAAATATAATAAAAAATAAAGTGTTCCCAAAATATACAAAAAAGTAGTCCATCTTGTCAAGGAGTGTGTTGTTTGAGCGCACTGTGTGCACTTTCCATCGAACAAAATGTCCTGGTATCTTCTTTAGCACAGTGGTTATCACAGACTTTATTTTGCTCAGAAATCCAAAACAGCCCCTATAAAGAGCCAAAGGAAATCCGTAGGGAACTTCTGGGTCAGAAATGCCTTTTCTCTTTCAGGCGTTTGGAGTAACACCTGAACACTTCAGTTACCTGCATAGAAAATCTCTGTCCGGCGGCATTACTGAGACAGCTTCTCCCTCCGCTGAATTAAACAGACTTGTGATAGTCGAGTGAAGAGACTCAGACTTCATCATTACACATTTCAGAGCTCTCCTGTGTTTTGCACAATTTGCAGGGTCATTTCATTCTCTATAATCACAGTGTTTTGTTTAGAACTGATAGAAGATTGTCTGCAAAACCAACCTGCCAGTTATACAAGTCACACACACACACAAAAACAAATAGCAACAAATTCACCCAACGCCAACTCCTCCGCGCCTTCCGTACTCTTACAAATGCATTTGTCAAAACAGATTCTCAAGGATGGAAAACACATGAGGAACATAAATTAATCAGCACAGAAGCTCAGACAGAAGATGCAACAGTTGAGCTGACAAGAAATGAAAAAAAAAAAAAAACTTTGTGTCTGCTGAAATTGTTATATTTTTTTCAATCAGTCTTCCTTTTTAACCTTAATGTATCACAATGAGCTGGCAATTGGATAAAATCATTAGCATATTTTGAATTACTATACACAGGCTTTTCTTTGGAACAGATATTCATAATAGTAAAACATTTTGGGGTTTACCCAATTTCACAGACGTTTGTGAACTAAAATTAAACAAAAAGCAAGAATTTTTAATTTGTGGTCTCAAACTAGATTTACATTTCAGTTTGGATCAATCCTTTAAACTGCATCAATATGGCAGATGTCATAGTTTTGGTTCAAGACCATTTAACACTTTTTATGCTAAATTGCTGAATTTAAATGTACATGAGATGTTAATCAGCCTAGTTTAAGCCTATTTAATTAACCAGCATCAGGACATGGACACACTGGGGTGGTGTTTTTTAACATTTCAATGTTTACGAATAGATCACATCAAAAGAACACCAGTGATCTTGACAAACTATACATCGGTCTAAAGCTACACCCCTCAAGCAGCCATTGTCACTTGTTGTTTTTCAATGGGAAGCTTATAAAGAATGTATTTGCTAAATTTGTGTAAGTTGTACAGAACATGCTTAGATATGGAGAACATACTTAATAATAAGTTAAAACACATTCATTGCTGTACATCACAGCTTATTTTGAAAGCTAAGAATCCTCAGAACATCATCTCATCAAATATGTTTAGTCCATTGACATAATAGTGTTGAATTATTGATTCTTTGTTTATGTTACCATTTATGCTGGAGACCTGTTTTTTACATTTACTATGTTATTTACATGCGAAAATGATGTCTTTGTAGTAAAAAGAAAGATGATGTCAGTGTTACACATAAAATGAGACCACAAACTGATAAAAAAGTCAAAGTTAATAAAATCCAACCAGAGCAGTCGAGTGTTTTGATGTTCTGCATATGCTATCTTGCTTTTAGCCAGTAACTTGCTTTCTAGCTTAACTAATGGAGAATTTACACCAATGGGTGCATGATCTTTCGAAATACACTACCTGAGAAAAGTCTTGTTTATCCAACCTTTCCAAGTTTTAGGATCAACATTCAATAATCAATAATCAATAATAACCTGACTTCTAGTTGATCATTTGGTATCAGAAGTGGCTTATATGAAAGGCAAAAGCCTCTAGATTACATTGATTTTACCAAAATAAAATATGATCATGCTTTAATGTTTAATTATTTAATTAGGACAGTAAAGTCCTAAAAAAGTCTTGTCACTTAACAGAAATAATGTACAGTATAGAATATAAAGTCATGGTGCATTGGGAAAATAATAAATATTGTGTATCCCATGAGCTTGGAGGACTGCATCCATACATCTCTGCAATGACTCAAGTAACTTATTAATAAAGTCATCTGGAATGGCAAAGAAAGCATTCTTGCAGGACTCCCAGAGTTCATCAATATTCTTTGGATTCATCTTCAACACCTCCTCCATCTTACCCCAAACATGCTCAATAATGTTATTGTATGGTGACTGGGCTGGCCAATCCTGGAGCACCTTGACCGTCTTTGCTTTCAGGAACTTTGATGTGGAGGCATGCGAAGTATGAGGAGCGCTATCCTGCTAAGGAATTTGCCCTCTCCTGTGGTTTTTAATGTAAAGGGCAGCACAGATGTCTTGATACCTCAAGCTGTTTATCTTTCCATCAACAATGCAGATATCTTGCACGCCTCCATACTGAATGTAACCCCAAATCATGATTTTTCCTTCATCAGACTTCACCAAACTGATTTCTGTGAAAATCGTTAGTCCATGCAGGTTCCAATAGATCTTTTGCAGTATTTGTGATGATTGGGATGCAGTTATTATACATTTATTATACATTTACATGTTAATATACATTTCTGCCACTTTTCCAAATGATTAACTATAAATCAAGTTATTATTTGTTGCTCCTACAACTGGGATCTACGACAAGACTTTAGTCAGGTAGTGTATAAACCAATTTATCACAAAAAGGAATGAACAAATACTTATTGCACAGTTTGTTAAAAGTCTTACAATAGAATAAAAACTGTCATGAAACTGATCTGATCTGCTCCTCAGACTTTAGTACCACCTGCCTGATGGCATGAGCATGAGCAGACTATGGCTGGAGTGGGTTAGATCCCTTAAAATGCTGTTTTTCCTAGTCAAGCAAATAAGCTTCAATGTTTATTTTAGAGTTGATTTTTCAGCCTTGTTTATGGAGCTTGGATGACAGAAGTATGAAATACTAATTAAATCCTGAACCTACAACTTCTTCGATAATGCTACTAATTTAGCTGGCCGATAAATAGCTCGTCAGACACGCTCAGTGAATGGAGCTAATTGTCAATTTGATGGCATGTGTGTGTGTGTGTGTGTGTGTGTATTCATTTGCAGTAAAGTGGTGAAACCGTGCAAAAGGCAGCCTTGATATCTAAGCCTGGGTTTTGATCTTAGGGCTTGGGAAAAAAAAAAACCTAAACATCCCTAATCTGATTTCCTCTTCCACTTTTCCTTGCAGAAGGGTGGGCGAGTGCAGGCGGCGGCGGTGGGGGGTGGATTTATGAGGTGTGCGAGATGGCTTGCTGGGTTTCCACGGCTCTGGCAGCTATACAAAGGCTCACAGCCTGGCCCGGAGATGGCTCCAAGGCTGGATAACACTCAACCGCAGTGATGCTATCTCCACCATGCAATGCAACACAAAGCACAACACGCAGGCCTCTGGCAGCATCACACCGACGGCAGCTTTTCTCATTATCTTCTTCCACCGTGAGTCAGTCTGCCAGTCGAACAGCGACAATGCTGCTCTCGCTGGGCAAAAGCTATGCTGCCGCCGCTTGCTCATACTCTTCCTCTCTCTCCAGAGGGGTCAGCGGGAGATCTGGAGAGGGGAGGGAGAGCGCTTTCTGCTTTGATGACAGACTCTTGGACTCTTCAGAAGTGGACCGGTGTTGTTTTAGCACACTGAGTCTCTGT